TAATTGAATTACGTGGTGTTAGAGTCTTCCAATTTTGTCCATAACCCCCTATGGTTTGTGAGAACTGAAATGTAATGAGTGGAGAGAGGTATGGACACTGCCACAAGCAACCACAGGCCATAACATGCCTTTCCCATGCCTTCTAACCACTTATCTTCTCTCTCTTCCCTTTCCTTTTTCTCTCACTTCAAACCTGACTTCTTGAGATTAGGAGAGCATCTTAGGTTGTAAAATGTGTCAGGGCAGGTCTAGGTGAGCAGAGGTGGGCCCACGAAGAAGGTGGAGAAGTGTGCAGGTAGCTAGCAAGTCTATGTAAAACCTACCTGTAGAATGATCATGAAACCTACTGGTAGGTTTTTTCCAGTAGGAAAACCTACTGATAGGGTTTGGCAGAGGCTACGGTAAGCTTCGAGAGGTAGGGTTTCCTCCTACTTTGGTTTATTTCTAACCAATGGTGTCCATAGGAAAGGGTTAGGTGTATAGAAATTGCCTATTGTTATGGAAATGAGAAAATGAGTATAGAAATGGCTTAAACCAATTTCTAGCTGAATTTGGTATAGGGAAATTACTTTTATAATTTCTTTGAACTCGTTATTATGTGGGCAATTTTGTGTTATAACATGATTGGTGCCTTAAAGGTGTTTGCTAAATGCCTTTGTGAGAATTAAGTTTGTTATGGCATGAATGATGTATAACATGTTTGTGATATTGTTATTGATATATGCTTAGTGATATATTGACGATGCTATAGATTTTGGTGATTACATGCATATGATGTAAGTTTCCATGTAATATGATGATATACGTTTAAATTGCTTATTTGGCATTCTTTGCATTTTGGGCATATAAGTTGGCATCTCATTCATGAGATTTAGGCATGAGTGTGGGTGTGTGTACATGATTTAATCAAACACTACTCTTGGTGCTTGATAAGTGGACTCGGAAGGTTGGATCGAAGATCCGGCCGAGTTGCATGTTGCATAAAAAACTTGTGTCGGGTATAGCAAAAAGGGATAGATTCTCCCTCGGGTGAAAACCTAGCTACTTGGTTCATACACTCCCCTATGATGAAATTCTAAAAAAGTGTAATAGCGTATAGAGCCAACGGTGTGATTCCAAAATCAGATACCCAAATAAAGACACATGAATTTGTTTTATAAAATAGTCATTCGGTGTGAAACATCAATGACGGGGGCTTGGACTTGTCCTGGATTTTCATACATGTAGCATTGCATGGGTTGAAAGGAGTCGGTGAAGGCTCGAGGTATATTTCATGAGTGAGTCTCATCTCATTTCATGGCATGACATAATAGCATTCCAACGTAGAATGGTATATTCTTGATGGAATAGATAATGGTTGTTGATTGTTACATGTGCACATTTTATATGCACTTAGGTTAGGGAGTAGCCTCTGTAGGAGATACTCTATTAAGCGTAGCTCACCCTATATGAGAAAATATTTCAGGTGGGAGATACACGCCGGAGGACGGCTCTTATTCGGAGCCTCGAAGATAAAGAGAGGCTGACTTATGGCCTTTGATTTGTATTTTTGTAAAACATTGTAAAAATCATGTTTTGGACATGCAATCTTTTGAAAATGATTGTAATAGAACTTGTTTTAAGTGTATTTGATGTACAAATATATGTTATATGAGTTTGGGTAGGTTTGAAAGGAATTAGAAATTGAAAACAATTGAAATAGGCAAATCTGGGTAGGACCTATTGATAGAACGTGGTCTAGTGGGCAACACCTACTGGTAGGATCTCGTACAATCAGAATTTGGCTTATCAGGTAGGACCTACCAGTAGGACTTTTCCAGTGGGCACAACCTACCAGTAGGTTCTCCAAAAATCTAAAATTTTAAAACTTTTTTGCCATGTTTTTTGGGCTTTGAGTTCTTTGTTTCCAAGGCTATAAATGGACATAAAATAAGGATAAATTGTGGTATATTGGACCCAGTAGGGTCAAATAGAAAAATATGCGTGTGTTATACATGTGGGTAACGATCCCATTTAAAGGGATTCTATTGACGTGATGTCGGATTGGGCGACAATCACGGGTATTTTCGCGGGTTGACGGATGGTCAACGGTTAACAAAAGATCCCTGGTTTCAGGGGCATCACATCAATTGAATCCAAATAGCTAGGGGTTGGTGGGTATTATCGTTATTTGGCTATAGCTCATGGCCCCAACACTCGACCTACTTTTTTCGAATTCTCTAGTGCTATAAACTCACCTCTGCCCTGAGCAAGGCTTTGGTTAGTTATATCTTTAAAAAAGAGAAGGGTTAACCCTATTGACGGGCTACTCTTAAAATGTGAAAGAGTGGAAGGATAAATTCTTCTTCCTCTCTAGGTCTAGTTGGAAATTTAGGCCCTTAGAGGACACCGAAAGTAGGCCTTTGCTACAACTTTAGAATTGATCACCCAAGTACAGGTTGTGCGAAGTAATAAATTTCTCGAGAATCCGAAATTGAATAATAGGGAATTGAAAAAACTTAGAACATAAAGAAAAATAAAATAAAATTATTTTGAAAAAATTGTTGTAAATATTTTGAAGTTTGGTTTTAAAACAATAATTGAAAATACTAAAGCATCGAGGATACCCTTACAAATCGACACAGTAATTATTAATGATTCAGTTTTTGAACTCAATTGAGAATCGACTGAGTAGTGATCTCAATCGGAATATTTAGCGGTGATAATATGAAAACATCAAAAGTTATAATTAATGAATTATCTGAATAAATATAAGAATTTACTTGTAGATCACAAGCATACACCCTGCCCGGAGTCTACGATAAATCAAGTTTTCTAACAGAAAAATCTTATTTTATTGCAAACAAAAAATAAGCTATCTCATGAGAAATTGTAATTAATTAATTCAAGCATGGAATAATTATTTATTTGACTCACAGGAAATCTTAAGCATTCGATGTACATGGTACAACGAATCAAAAAATTATACAGAGTAAAAACTTAACTAGAAGACAAGAATTAAATTAAAAGAATAAATCATGCATTATAAAGGACATTAAATTAATAATAAGTATCATGCTTCAGTGAAAGTATCTCCCTAATCTTAGTTGAGCTTTTAGCAAGTCATAGAACTAAAACAAAAAAACTAGGAAAAGAAAAGATCGGGAAAAAATAATAATCTTCTCTTCCTAGTTGAGAACCCTTATTTATACTAAAATAAATCATAAGTATAAATACAAGATATAAGGTTGGCTTGGAAGGAATTCGTTTTCAAAAAGAAATATTTTAAGGTCAAATCTCGTGCATAAAATCTTTGGGGCTTGGGTATTAAATTTGTCTAAACTTCAAACTTGAATTTCGCATATTTAGAGGCTGATTCACGAAAGTTTTGTGAACTACACTTTTTGTATCCCTTGAAGTCTTCTTTCCAACCCCACAAAAATCAAGTTAATCAGATATCGAAATCAAAAATTACAACCAAAATACTAAAGATGTGTCAAATCCTTATCTTCTAGGATANAACAAAAAATAAGCTATCTCATGAGAAATTGTAATTAATTAATTCAAGCTTGGAATAATTATTTATTTGACTCACAGGAAATCTTAAGCATTCGATGTACATGGTACAACGAATCAAAAAATTATACAGAGTAAAAACTTAACTAGAAGACAAGAATTAAATTAAAAGAATAAATCATGCATTATAAAGGACATTAAATTAATAATAAGTATCGTGCTTCAGTGAAAGTATCTCCCTAATCTTAGTTGAGCTTTTAGCAAGTCATAGAACTAAAACAAAAAAACTAGGAAAAGAAAAGATCGGGAAAAAATAATAATCTTCTCTTCCTAGTTGAGAACCCTTATTTATACTAAAATAAATCATAAGTATAAATACAAGATATAAGGTTGGCTTGGAAGGAATTCGTTTTCAAAAAGAAATATTTTAAGGTCAAATCTCGTGCATAAAATCTTTGGGGCTTGGGTATTAAATTTGTCTAAACTTCAAACTTGAATTTCGCATATTTAGAGGCTGATTCACGAAAGTTTTGTGAACTACACTTTTTGTATCCCTTGAAGTCTTCTTTCCAACCCCACAAAAATCAAGTTAATCAGATATCGAAATCAAAAATTACAACCAAAATACTAAAGATGTGTCAAATCCTTATCTTCTAGGATACTTTCATAATCCAACTTTAAATAAGTTTTCTTCTAACTTGGACTCTTATAAGGATTAAAATTGCTGATATATCTTTAAACATTCATATCTTAATCTTAACTTTTCAATCCTTATTAATTGTGATTCTTCCTCTAGTGATTGCTTCACTTGTCTTATCCATTATTACTTTAAATCANATTAAATTGCTGTCATGTCTTCAAGTCTTCCTATTTCAATCTTGACTTTTCAATCCTTATCAATTATGATTCTTCCTCTAGTGATTTTTTCACTTGCATTATTCGTTATTACTTTAAATCAAACAATTTACATGCAAAATAAACCAAACAATTAGAAAAAGTATCAAATTAAAAAATCAAGAAATTTAACACATTTAATCATAAATAATATGCAATTAACCAATCATTAAATATAATAAAATAGCAATTTTGATGGTTAATCAGTAACCTTTTCATAGGCGCAAGACTATAACATGGCGTGTGTGTGAGTATATCTTGTGAAGATAAATTTTTATAAACTGCTTGTATGTGTGTTTTTTATATATCCAGTCATTACAAATGAAAAAGAATAGCAATATATTAATGAGTCCGTGCATTCTCTCATAGATATGTTTATTGACAATTTNGAGTCCGTGCATTCTCTCATAGATATGTTTATTGACAATTTCCAAGTAATCACGGGAATAATATTTTGTCTCCTGCATGGTTTGAGGATGCATGGGATTCATCAATAAATTTTCTGAAGAACACCTGGTTTATTGAAATTGCACTAGCAAGAAAGTCGATGCATTGGGCACCACATATTTCACATCTTCAAAGGAAAAAGTATACACTGTTGGAGTACTACAATGAGCGTTGCAGTTGANCAAGAAGGTCGATGCATTGGGCACCATATATTTCACGTCTTCAAAGGAAAAAGTATACACTGTTGGAGTACTACAATGAGCGTTGCAGTTGATATTGTATTCTTGGGGAGTTGACTGATAAATCTGGATCAATTACCAAGTTGGCTGTCTTGTTTGACTTTGGATGTTCAAAAAGTTGATTTCAGTTTCCATACTCACTGGATTTGGAATTCTCAGCAACTTTCATAGCCATATGAGCTGTGACTATGATTTCTTCTCGGAACATATGTTTAAAACACTTTGGCTTTGCTTTTACGAGATGTAGATTTTTCCCTTGTAAAAGCAGTGCTTAGACACTGTAGTTAGCTGTGCTATTACTTTGAGAATGTGCTGTGGTTTTGTGCCATTATTTACCAGCTTGTAGTTTTGCCTTTGCACTGATAATCATATGAGCATACAGTTGGTGACTGATTCTTGACTGAGGTTTGGGTGTTTATAACACTGAACTGATCGAGTTATCTTGTAAACAATACTTCATGTATCCGTTGAATCCTTTACCAATTAGTATAAAGTACTACTGACTTATTAAAGTAATTCATCTTCTACATGTATCAATTGAATTACTTTATAGTTCACCTCCCTGATATTTCTTGACATTTATCAGATACAAAAGGCACTGGGCTGCAAAAAAAATCCATTGGCTTATGATATTACAGCTGCTTGTAGTGGGTTTGTGCTAGGCCTAGTGTCAGCTTCTTGCTATATTAAAGGTAAAAATTCCTTTACTTTGCTGCAATTAGATTTTTTTACTGGTTTCGGAGTTGCTTATTTTCAAATAAATAGCATTTGTTTCAAGTGTCATAAAAATTGAACCCTGCTATTGTAAATTGCAGGAGGCGGGTTTAATAATGTTCTTGTGATTGGGGCTGATGCTCTTTCTCGTTATGTTGATTGGACGGATAGAGGGACCTGTATTCTCTTTGGTGATGCTGCTGGTGCTGTACTTGTACAGGTATAGTTGTTATTTGGTCATTCAATTGTGCTGTCTGGGAAGGAGATCATATCTCTGTCATTGGAAATATCACTTAGTCATATTTATTGGTGTCCAGTTCTCTAAATAAGGGCGTTAGGGTATTCATTTGGATAATGCTTGTGAGTTGGTGTTTGTGTGCCCCTTCAGCTAAGTAGTACTCTAACTTGGTCGTTATCGTACTTTCGCATGTTGTAAGTAGCATATGTTGATTTTCAGATGCATCATTAGTCCTGGGCATATAACTTGATTTTCAGAATTTGGATATCTTGATTCATGGATGCCGTCGTTAGTCCTGGGTATAAACTTGATTTTCAGAAGCATATGTTAGCATTTGACAAATTATACATATACTAGTAATTTCTTTGTTCTAAAAAATGCCATGACAGCACCTTTAGGGGTAAAAATGCTGTGATAGCAATGTATGCATTTTTTCCACCCCGAAGAGATGAACAACATTTTTGGACAACATTTATCATGGTTCAAAGTATCGGCCGATACTGATATGAGTTGGCTGAGTTGTATCCGACTCGGCACCTTCCGGGATGATACCATTACATGATACGTATAAACTCCGAATCTTGTACTGTATCTGAGTCGATCTTTGAGATGTTGAGTTATTGTCACCGAATCTGCTGATACAATTTTACGATACAGCGGTATGACCTGAATATCTTGTTATATTCAACATTTTCATTTAAGTCGTATCACTCGATACCGTGCGGTGACCCCGCGACTGATATATCTCAGAGCTCTCCAAGTTGATGGCTGATACCACGTCCTTGAGCCACGGCATTCATAACTAGTCCACAGAGTCATTGTCCACTTGTCCGAGTGGATATTTGACTAAACTGAGAATGGATAAGCACTTTAAAAGCTGTCTGCTGATTCTTTGTATTGTTCTATAAGTTAATTTCCTATACTCGGAAACCACACTAGAGCATCCATTGGATGAATCTCACTTATCTTAATAACTAGATAGTTTAACTAATCTACCTTCTATACCCCCTCGGCCCTAATTTTTGTCAACTACACCTCTTCTTGTTGCTAGGAAGTAGTGGTTATGTAGATAGTTGATATTAAAGCTATTGTGCAGGCGTGTGATAGTGAAGAGGATGGTTTGTTTGGTTTTGACTTGCATAGTGATGGTGATGGCCAGAGGTATGCATAATGATCTTGAGAAAATGGTTCTATGGGTTATTTTTCACGTCAATGAGACAAAAACTACCTTTTTTTGTAGGCACTTAAATGCTGCCGTCAAGGAGGATGAAATGGATAGTGCGACGGGTTCTAATGGTTCAGTCTTTGGCTTCCCTCCAAGGCGCGCCTCTTATTCCTGCATCCAGATGAATGGTAAAGAGGTCTTTCGTTTTGCTGTTCGTGCTGTGCCTCAGTCGATTGAGGCTGCACTAGAAAAGGCTGGTCTAACTGGATCTAACATCGATTGGTTACTGCTCCATCAGGTATGAGACAAAATCTACAAAAGTGATAAAACTTTGTTCTGACTTACATTACATTTATGACACATACAGACAGATTCTGAAGTGAAATCCACTCTCAATCGAATGTTATCTGTACTCACCGATCTCTTTTTTCCTACTACTGCTGCCTTTTGTTTTCCTTTGAACATTTTGATGCGGTTATAATGCCATTAGCATCCTTACATTTATTATGAAAACTACTTTCAATGTGTTTCTAATATAAGTGTCACAAGGACTCACGCATTGTTTCCTTAGCCACCCTTAAAGAATTCTTCACCACACTATGCGTAATGACCCCTAAAATCTCTCATATGAACATGTTACACTAATACCTGAAAGGAATTGGTTATATGCAGGCCAATCAGAGGATCATTGATGCGGTGGCAACACGTTTAGAAGTCCCATCAGAACGTGTAATCTCCAATCTGGCAAATTATGGGAATACAAGTGCTGCATCCATTCCGTTGGCATTGGATGAAGCTGTCCGCAGTGGGAAAGTTCAGTCAGGCCATACTATAGCAGCTGCAGGTTTTGGAGCTGGTCTTACATGGGGTTCTGCTATCATTAGATGGGGATGAAACAACCATAGTACCCGATGATCAGGTACAGAAAAATGAAGAGGAATCCCTATATCCTGCTGTTTTCTCTGTCTTGCTTCTAATTTCAGGAGTCATGCAGTTATTTTGAGGTTGCAATCGCATAGTTTTCTTCAATTTCCTTTTGTTTATTGAGATTGTTATTGTTAAAATTTGAAACTTCAATAAAATTTTATTCTTTTTCTTCAGTAATAAATTCTATTGTAATCTACTTTTTGTATTCAGCACCATTTGCATTTACATTCCATTAAATCACAACTTAGACCAATGATTGTGCGGGGTGTCACCCTTATTTGCATTGTTGTGTTGAATGGATGTTGCCTACCTGTGTCACGACTCAGGATCCTATGACCAATGGATCAGATTACAGTATCGGGATCGAAACCATAATGAAATTTACACATAAATAAGGGGTAATTATAGCTCATTTGTCAAGTAATTATTCAAAAATGTCAATTACAGCCCAATGTGGTTAAATTAAATCTTAAAAAATGGGGATTGATCCTAAGTTGTTAGGGTCATTGTAATCTGTTTATTTTGTAGTAACTTTCAACACCCTGATAAAAAGTATCGTATACCAATGGCGATAAACAATGGAACAGTTAATATAAAACTGACAAAAACACATCAAAACTGCCATATTTAGATAATTTATTGCTAGAGGGAATGTGGATTCAAAATATCTCTATGCATCCTTGATGAATAAATACTGAAAAGAAGGGTAAAAAGTAATCACTACTACAAGGAGGATAAAAGGATGCAAGTAGTTATTGAGCTGCAACTTCTTTAAGTCTAGAGCTGATCCTCTTTAGAACACCCTCTATTGCAAGATCAAATGCATCCTTTTTGGCACTCAAACCCAGTGAACTTCCATGTTTTCTATACATAACTCTAGGCATCATCTCTAAAACCTTCTCTCTCATCCTCCTAACTTCAGCTCTTGGGATATTCATCAACACATCCACAATGCTAACCCCTTTAAACACCACATCCTCTTTGGGAATAAACACCGAAAACTCCTCATATTTCTCCTCTGGCAGATGCCACCCATACTGCTTTTTTGCTGACAATTCCTCGAAGAAAACTGGTATACATCCAGCAAGAATCGAATCAAACGTGGAACGCCTAGTCGGTGTATCCCCCGGTGGCTGCAAACAAAAACTAGCCTGCAACATTGGCCTCATGAACCTAATTGGATCATGCTCACATACCCCATTAGAACAATCCACAAACTCACACAATTCCGAATACCCACAACCATTAACATCCGTGCTAGTACTATTCTCGCATTCTAATCTTATACTTCTCCTTATGTTCGGATTAGCCGAAATTCCACCCCCACCAGCAAACAACATCAATGTAGTGCGCCTAGACCTCCTCACCCTACTCACCCATGATTCAAAAAGAGCCATATTCGGAGGATGAAATGAAGTTGGATACGGAATTGCATGTTCTTGCCATGGATAAGCTCTTGCTTCCAATGTTAATGCAGTAACATTATAGAACTCCGGCAATTCAAGAAATGAAGTGCCCCAAATTGGTGGATCATTAGATAAAGGTTGGCTAAAGTCCCAAGCTGGACGTGCCATCACCAAAAAATGGTCATGGCCGGAATTTTTCCTCCATATTTCCGGGGAATCGGAATGATACAAATATTGAAATAAATCAAGCCCGTGTTCGAAACTTGAATTGACTTCAGGTCCATAGAGGTATCGAAGGCTATCTATGCCGGCATAGTAAGGAATGTAGATGGCGTTGGCCGAATTGGGATCGAAGGTTAGACAAGGGTATTCGAGCATTCGACGGTGGAAGACGAGTTCGAGCATAAAAGGGTCGGTGCGGTACCAGCTGTGAGATTTGTTGTGGGTTTTTTGGCCGAGTCCGTGGTTGGAAACGTAGGGGCAGAAGTTGTCGAAAATTGGGTATTCTGAGCAGTTGGATAAAGGGTCGACGTTGAATTGGGGTGGAAGGGGGCGGATGTAGATCCATTTGTTGGTGCATTCGGATTCAAGATCGAAATCTTGGGCTGTAGTGGTGGTGGTGGTGAGGAGGAGGAAGAACAGGGTGGCGGCGGTGATGGTGATGGGTTTGGCGAGAATTGAAGATTTGAGTGGTGACATGGCGGTGAATACTGAATAGCGACGTTATGGTCGGGGAATGAGAAGGGTAGTTGAGAGAAAAAGAAGAATGAGAGAGAAAGAAGTGGGGAATAAAGGGTGATTTTTTACCATTACTGTGTGTGTTTTTGGATTTTTTGTGGGGGGTGTGACTGGTTTTGAACTTTTGATTTCTATTTTCTTATCTTTGTTCAGTGGAGATTGAGGTATATCTCGACGGCTTATTTTGGGTTTTTTCTCTTGTTCTTTTGTGGAGAGAGAGAGAGAGAGATTTGAGGGAACTGAGAGGAAAATAGGGAAGCAGAGTAACTGTAAAAGAAAAGGTAGAATAACTAGTTCCAGTTGGGGACTGGGCATGTTGACCACCGCCATTGTCGTTCCGAGAGAGTAACAGCTCCCACCGAATGCGGCGGCGTTTCGTTATATACTATATTTAAAAATTCAATAACACTATTTAATTTTTTGAATAACATATTTGTATTTTTCAACCAACTATTATATTATTGCAAAATTAATATAAAATATAGTTAAAAAAAAAAAAAAAAGGAGGATTAGGTATACATAATTTTCCACCCTGTTTGTTTGCCGGGAGACTTTATTTGGAATATGAGATTTGGATTATAATTTGGGTGGAATAGCGGTGCTCCAGCACCATTACATTATCTCTCTCCCCCTACACACACACACATGTTGTTAGGTGTAGTGAACCAAGTCTTCCCATTTGAATTTTGAACTTACTCTGGTCGACAATTAGCCAGAATAAAAAGGAAACATAACTGTTTCACCCATTGAACATCTCGAAATCTCTTCAAATTTGCGTAATGGGCCGCGTCATAGTTCGGACTTGGATCTGCTTTTGGGCTGGATAGATCTCAGGATCCATAATCAGTGACCGAAAGTGATCTGATCCTCTTTCTTTCACAATTTACCATATCCTTTTATCTGTTCCGTCAGGATTGAGGAATAAAAAGTTAGGTGCGGGAATTACAAGTATCTTCCCTAGCTAGCCACCATTAGGCCTTATTGAAGAAGAATTAATTTTTTTTTCTTAGATCTAGTATTAGACGGAAGCAATATAAAATTTTTCATACTCGATCAATAATTTCACATAAACGATAAGCAACCCCGTATGACCAAAAAAAAATGTTGAATAAGAATGGAAAAAATTTTAAGTATTTAAGTTTGTGTACCAAATACTAGCAGAATATGTCGATCTATAATGCTGTTTTTGGGAAGTTTATGAATGATCTGTATGAGAAATCAACTTTGTGCCGACTATCTATATAGTCTGTCCATGTTATGATCAACAGAGCTCAGAAACTGTCTTCTTTGTTGTTGTTATGATTATTCTACAATTAAGATGACTTCAATTAATGAATCTTCAATGCTACTTCTGCCTATACATCTTTAATACTGCTCCATATAAAATCAGATTTCTTTTTTTTTTTTTTGGGATATTACGATGAGGGGGTGTCGAGGCCAACTTAGCCCCAACTCGACTAATCTCTCCCCGGTCCGATGAAAAATCAGATTTATGACGTAAGGTAAAAAGTGTGGAGAAGCTTTCTTCTTTAATCTTTATTTTGCTCACAATATGTTTAATAATATCTTCAATGCAACTTGCATTTTTTTTTTGTGTTTTGGTTCAACAATCAAGGATGTTTGAGTCAGTTAACGCGCACCTCAATTAATCCCTTTCGTGGCCTAGTCAAAAGCAAATCATCCACACCAGAACTAGGGTATATATTCATGTCCTAAAGCGGGTTAATTAGATCTCCACTATTCCATTTACTAATCTTTCAACCAAAATTATTTAACTTGACTCATCAACTCAATACAACAGTGTCATGAAATATTATAAATATGAGTTTAGCAAAGTTTGTCCTGCTATTTATTTATTAAATGCGTCTGATGAGTATATTCGTTTTGACACAAAACTCGGTTATACACGATAAATAAATTAGATATAAGCTAAACAAATATTGATACAATGCGAGTCATTTTCAGCCCAACATATATTTGCATATGTTGAGTGAGATATATCAATCTCAGCATTTCATTCTAGCATGAAAAAGCCTCATGTCCGGTTAGTTTTAGTTGGTTGTCAATGTTTTTATCTTTATAGGCCAGCTGAATCTGTTAATTATCTCGTACTAGGTAGGTTAGAGCAATGTTATAGGTATTTGCTTTTGAGACCTAATTCAATGTAATTATTGAATTACGTGTGAGTTTCAATGTTAAATGAAACACACAATATTATTCTCCGAGTTAGAGAGGAGTTCGCTGACCAGATCTTCCATCTTATTATATATATTTTTCTTCATTATTAGTTGCATGTTCTAATTATGAATCGGAGATAAAAAGTCTTATTGTTAATCCTGACATGATGCTTTATTGTTAATCCTGACATGATGGTTCATAAATTAAGTTCAAATAATATTTTTTGATAGGTTATGACATTATAGTTAAGCGTCAACCACTAAGACATTATTGAACCAAGTTTAGATGACAATAATGCAGTAACAAATAGTTTAAACATGCTGAGTGTTATGTTCCCTGGAATCTGGGATTGGGGCACCATTTAGAGGACACTATGAAAGCCTTAAACTAGCCTTAGAGAACCTTGAATTAATTCGAAATACATATTAATTACACACATGAGCATTCGACAAGATGAAAGTGGCAGACAAGAAGATATTCATTGAGTTTATTTGAATTTGTGAATAACAAAAGCTACACCAACCTTCCAAACACATGGACCATCCAAAATATAAGCCACCATAGCTAGTTTTTTATTTATTTATTGGGGGTACTCCAGTGAACCCTCTTAGGCATTCATGGAAAAAACACATTTTAATTTGAAGA